GTCAATGTTTGTTGATTGATGACATCCATTCATGATCCTGAATTTTGGTAAAAATAACAAAAAAATGTATGGTCAATGATATAAATGGTAGATTTTCAACATAAAATGTCTAAATATGCAAAAGAATATGAAAGTATAATGCTATATTACACAAACAAACATATTTACATTCCTGTTTCCCACATAAGAGTGATATATAGTCCCTTCAAAGTGAATGTTTTCAGCTGAATGGCGAAGTAAGGAAAGAAGTAAAAGATGATATAAGTCACAAATAAAGATATAACCTAGGAATGAATCATTATTGAGTCAATCAATTTAACATGTAGATGTTTAATTTGACATGATAATCTATATCATTCAAGAAGGTTAAAGGCACTAAAATTGTTAAATTTCATAACCTACTAAAATTCAAATTCATTAATTTGCCTAGTTATTATGAAGATAACATTAAAAAAAACAAAGTGAGACACGACAAAAATGAAATTGCAATAATGCTACAATTTTGAACTAAATAATGGGTAGTTCAATTGATTAGTGTTGTAGTTGTTACTATATTGATATGATTTTCTTTATGGAATATTAATGTAGTTAAGATAAGTTTCAGATATATCTAATTTTTATTTTCATATGTACATAACACTAATTAATAATTTATAATTTTTGGTTAACTTAAGGAAGATGACTAATGGAGTGTAATTAGATCAATCAAAATGCATTTCAACTTATACTTTTAACACCAGGTTGTTATTCATAAGTCACGAAAATTACAAGATACTAAAACTTTTTCACAGTGGATGTTTCTGATTTTTTTTTTAATTTAAAGGAAACAATTGACTAATTACCTCAATTTTAGAAACATAGAAACATGGTAAACAAAATTGTAATTTGAAGGTTATGTTAACTTTTTAATAATTTGGAAATTAGTAGATTTTTCTGATTTTTTTTTTAATTTAAAGGAAAAAAGTTGCCCAATTATGATCGATTTAGAAATTTAGGAAATTGACAAACAAAATTACAATTAGAAGGCTATGTCAATTTTTTTCTTTTTCTTTGTTAATTTGATGGAAATTGATGTATTGCAATCACACCATTAAAAAAAATACATGCAATATGGAATAAATATGGTCAATTTTAGTTTGGGATACGATGCTAACCTTAATGAACATTGGGAATTATGCTTTTGAAAATTTAATAACCAAACAGAATACAAAAGAACAAGAGAGGAAATGGGATTTTATATAGGGTAGATACACAAATTGCAAGAAGGTACTATTAAATCACAATGGTTGTGAACCTTTTATGAATCAGACTGATGAAGCATGACAAATTTCTAGCAATTTGATCTGATAGAGGTTGTTCATTACTTTCACAAATAACCCATAATCATTGACAACTGATTTAGACAATTACACACATCAGATGAGAGCATGTCATGGTATAATATAGAAGAGAAGCAAGAATGATCTCATGTAATTAAATCGATCGAAATTAGTGTTAGTGAAATGTACCTATGGGAAGCAAAGGTTGGTAGAAGATCACTTTGAATACGTTGAAGTAAGTTGTCGGTTGTGCCAAATGACCGGCTTATAGATCACTTGATCTTCGATACTTTATGAAATCATTTTTTTTTAATTGCTGTCAAAAATGTGTGTTTTTGGCTGGAGTACATGAAAGTGTGCACATTATATCAGCCTTTCCACATATCACATAAAAAATACCACAAAATTGATTCAGTTTTCAATAACTTTTTATGTTACCTTAAGTTGGGCATCCATTTTTTCTATTTCATAGAACAAATTTCTTGTTAACAATGTAAATGGAGTGGAATGTGACAGTAAACATAGGTAAAACGGAATGTCACAAGTAATTCATACCTCTGTGGTTAAGAAATCCAATTTGGTGTGGAATAGAAGAAGAGACAATTGTCTTTCCTAAGTTTTATCATCCAATAGTTCCAATTTTGTTACTCTCCCTCTACAATGAAAATAAAGAAACAAGAATATTTATTGAATTACTTTTATAGCATTTACATTAATAAAAACATAAATCTAATTTACTTCATAAATTATGGACGTTCATGATAGCAAAACAACTCAACCTATAAGTCTATTATACCCAAACATGAAAACCCTAACCTTTAATTGAAAATTGAAAATCATGTAGGGTAGTGCTGAATCCAAATTTAATCGATACAATTTTTTTGCCTTTTTCAACTTTTAATTTGACAAAAACTGTTGGTTTGCAGTGAGACCAAAATCAGAAATTTTTGAATCGACTGTGATGTTCATGGTGTCGTTTTACATGAAGCGTACATTCGTTATTTATCCAAAATCCACAGAACTTCAATCATAGCCTTCAAGCAACCACAATGACATCATCTTTTCAGATTTCAAGCATCAGGATTAAGGTTTGGAAAAAATTAATGTCAATCATATTCCTTGTAAACTGCAACAACTCCTTCCCTACTAATGTTACTTAACTTTTTTTTTAATAACGACTATTTACTTTCTTAATTGAGAACTAAGACACCCATAATTCAGCATAAAATGAATTTGTATGTATTAATAAATGGTATGAGAAACTCATCAGATATAGTAATTAAAAGAACTCACCATATGGAAGTACAAAACAAAAAATACAGCTGAATGTGTTCCAATCATGAATTAACATTGACAATTAATACTATTTTCCTTAAGGATGGTTTTGCCGTTGTTGTTGGTTGATACACGGGTGAGGTTGAGATCACATGTTGGGTTGTTGTTCATAGATGGTCTGGAATATTGAACCCATAATCACAAACAGTTATATAATTGAATATGGAAATCTGGTAAAAGGGCATTTTGGTCCTTTTACTAAGGATAATACTATATTGCTAAGCACAGTGATATTTCCGATAAAAATGAAAAAATCGGATGTTATTTCTAGAGTGTCTACCATTCTTCCGCTATCTAATTCTTTACAAACCTGCCATGTCTTGATAAATTTCATTTTATACACAAGGGTAAATCGGTAATTTTGGAAGAAGGTTTTGAAATTTGAACCAATAATGGCAGCCATCCATATGTTTAAATAGGGGATATATGGTAGAAGGGCATCTTTGTCCTTTTATTACGAGGAAATTTGGGAAAATGGTATTTTCTTCCTTTTATTATGAAAGAATATTATGTGTTTATTTTGTAGTTCATGTAACTGCATAATTGCTTCAAGACTTTCACTATTCACCTACAATTTTTTTTTATAATGTATTAACACGTTCACTATTTTTCTTTAAAAATTGTTGTTTATTTATTTTTTAATTTTTTAAGCGTTATGTCTTTTAAAGCATCATACTTACTTGTTTTAAAACAAATTTTAAAATAAATAAGTCCTTTTACTAAGGATAATACTATATTGCTAAGCACAGTGATATTTCCGATAAAAATGAAAAAATCAGATGTTATTTCTAGAGTGTCTACCATTCTTCCGCTATCTAATTCTTTACAAACCTTACTTACTTGTTTTAAAACAAATTTTAAAATAAATAAAGGTACGTTGCTAAAACTGTATCCATTTAATACTTATATGTTTAAAAAACATTTTTAACCCATTTTGGCAGCTAACTTGAATTTCAAGAGGGGAAATTAGGGAAAAGGGTATTTTGGTCATTTTAATGGAACGGTGTTATTTATTTATTTCTTACTTCGTTGGTTAGTTGGTTTAACACTTTCATTTTGCACCTTAATTGGTTCTATAAACTCTACTAAACACTTTCATTGATCCTATTCTTTCTTTCATTAACAAACATAAAATAAAAGTATTTTTTTGTCTTTAATCAACTATAATTCTAAACAGGGTAAATCTAGGAAAATAGCATATTGGTCATTTTATTAAGGGTGATACTACATTGCTATTGGTCATTTTATTAAGGGTGATACTACATTGCTAAGTACACGTTCACTATTTTTTCTTTAAAAATTGTTGTTATTATTTTTTAATTTTTTAAGCTTTATGTCTTTTATAGCATCTTACTTACTTGTTTTAAAACAAGTTTTAAAATAAATAAAGGTACGTTGCTAAAACTGTATCCATTTAATACTTATATGTTTAAAAAACATTTTTAACCCATTTTGGCAGCTAACTTGAATTTCAAGAGGGGAAATTAGAGAAAATGATATTTTGGTCATTTTAATAGAACGGTGTTATTTATTTATTTCTTACTTCATATAGTTGGTTAGTTGGTTTAACACTTTCATTTTGCACCTTAATTGGTTCTATAAACTCTACTAAACACTTTCATTGATCCTATTTTTTCTTTCATTAACAAACATAATATAAAAGTTTTTTTCGTCTTTAATCAACTATAATTCTGAACAGGGTAAATCTAGGAAAATAGCATATTGGTCATTTTATTAAGGGTGATACTACATTGCTAAGTACAGTCTAATTTCATATAAAATAATGAAAAATGAATGCTATTTTTGGGAAAAGGGCATATTGGTCCTTTTTTCATCATATTTCAACTATATTTTTAAAACCATTTCCTGTTTTTTCTGTCCAAACGAACATAAATTTAATGTTTTTTTTACACCTCACTCCTACAGCTTCCCTCAATTTACTAACTTTTATTTGTCAATTATTATATTTCATTACAGCTTCATGGATCCAACCAAGTTACCATACTTAGTGGCCTAACCCAAGCAAAAGATGACTACATGATTAAGAACTTTTTATTAAATATTGCAATTATGTTTTACTGTTTTTAACAAGGTTGGATGGGGTAATTTTTACTTAGACAATTTTACCCATTTAATCATATATTATCCTAATATTATGATCCGAATACATAGTATTATTTGAATGTACTGTACAATCGGGATGTCAATGTCTTGACCAAGCAATAAGGGCAAAGTTGGGCATAAAGTTGTTTAAAAAAAGATGGAAGGATAAAGAAATCCATCGATTAGATAATTCTAACAACTAATTGAACTTAAAAGCAATTTAGGGTTCCTGTGATTATATACCTGTAAAAGAAGAAAGAAAAGCCAGACGTTCTTATTTGATTCCGATTTCCAGATATTTGAGGAAACGTCTTCCACGTCACTGAATAGATGCAGAATTGAAAGTATGTCGAATTGCAATAGAAGACCTAATCTGAAAGTCGATTAAATTTCTCGAAGTAGAGAAACATTTGCAGTTTTTGTTGAACATCGGAAGCAAGTATAGCAAAATTTGAATCGAAAATTACATACCTGCAAAACCAGGGCGCCTCCCAGCGGGTGTGTGTATCCAATTTATGGGTGTCCTTATTCAAACGTTGAGTGAAGTGGGCGTATTTGGAACGTATAAATATTGTAGAAGAGAAAAGGGTTTATATATACGATGAGGCGTTGAAAGAGAAACGACAATAATGGGATTGGATCAACGTAATGGTAAGTTGCGTCGTTTGTGGGGTTAGAATAGCTCGATTTGGTTTCAGACGGCCTGACATGCAAACCGTCGGACAGTACATGGACAGTCACCCGTGTTTGCTGAAAATCACCGATTACATGAAAGTCACCCATGTTTACTGAGGAAGACGTTTCGAAGCAACATCTCCCAACATGTGTGACTATCCAAAAGGAAAAGAAAATCAGAAATTACATGATACCGACACATGACTCTTTTGAAACGATTTTGATGTTCATGGTGTCGTTTTACATGAAGCGTACAAAGTTATTTTGAATCTACTTTCATACTGGTGGTGTCGTTTAGGAGGTAGAGTACGTGGCGAAAAAGAGAACCTGTAAATTTGATTTTGGTGGATGTAGAAAAATAGGGCTTTAATATATAGGAATGATATATATATATATATATATATATATATATATATATATATATATATATATATATATATATATATATATATATATATATATATATATATATATATATATATATAATAAAATCATATGCTGAACGTCATATCATAAATCCATACGTCAAATATCTCAAACCATAATAAAATGTCGTGATACAATTGTATCAAATCAAACTAAGTATCAAAACAATCTCCCAAGACAAAAACTGAAGTTGTGGTGTATACGATGTCATCAACTCGAGCTCTTCCCTTTGCTTGCGGAAGTACCTGAAACCAAAATTGAAACTGTAAGCACGAAGCTTAGTGAGCTCCCCCAAATTACCACATACCATACAAACATAAAACAACTACTGGGCCATGCCCACTGCATCAGACCGAAGTCCGGAAACTGCATCGGACCGAAGTCCGGAACTAACCAGGGCATTGCCCTCTACATCGGACCGAAGTCCGGAACTACTGAGGCCTTGCCTCCTGCATCGGACCGAAATCTGGAACTAACTGCATCGGATCAAAGTTCGGAACTAACTGCATCGGACCGAAGTCCGGAACTGACTGCATCGGACAGAAGTTCGGAAGTACTGAACATAGCATAACATACACATATCAACTAACACAACAACACATAGCACGCAAACTTGTCTGAGCCACGAAGGCGTCAAATATACTAACTACTGCATCGGACCGAGGTCCGAAAACTACTGCTAGCTAAATGGGCCGGCATTGTGGCCTTAGCCCCGTTCCTACTGGAAGGAAACTCACCTCGTGAACTGGTTGCTGAGTGTATGGCTCTAGAAGCTATCTGCTGCTGCTCCGATATCTCCCCGGCTACAATTCCACAAACACACTCAGTCAAATACTAATAACTGCATTGGGGTAAAATGACTCTTTTACCCCTGGCTAAAGTTAACTCTCCCGGTCAAAATCAACTTACAGTTAACCTGACTCGCTGAGTTGGGCCGCCAACTCGTCGAGTCCCTACTCTCACTTCTCAACCATGTTCGCTGCTACTCGTCGAGTATGGCATCAACTCGACGAGTTCCCTTTCGATTCTAAAACTCAGACTATCTGCATCCGACTCACCGAGTTGTATGAACAACTCGACGAGTTGTTCTTGAATCTATGAAGATTGCCTTAGACTCGCCGAGTTGTATGAACAACTCGTCGAGTCCCTCCATTACTGAGTCTGACTTCCAGCTCACTGAGTCCATTCTACTACTCACTGATCCCCACTCGGAATCACTCAAAAGGGGAAGAATCGGGGACTCGCGGCTCGACTCACCGAGTCTGAAGAACGACTCGCCGAGTCGCATGCATGCAGTTACTAAAAACTCGATTATGCTTGAATCCAGCGCATATAACTTGTAGATCTGGGCTTCTTATACTCGATTAACACGTAAAGATTCTATCTTTACGTGTCCATAAGCATCAATGAAGATTAAAAGGCTCAAAAGGCATAATAAAGGCTAGATCTAAGTTTCTCATGCAAGGCAACTCGAAAAAGGAAATAGATCAGGGCTCTAAAGCTCCTAAATGAACAGATCTAGGGATATCTCGATCCCACAAGGCATCCATACAACTATAAAGCTTGGAAAATACATTAAACTAGCCTTAGAGGTGTTCTAATGGAGGTTTTAAGCACAAAATAGAATAATTCCGAGATATACCTCTATGAACTTTGACTTTGGCCTTGGATCTTTGCTCTACACTTCCTCTTTTTGATCCTTTCTTCTTCTTCTTCTTCAATCCTTCAAAATTCACACAAAAACACTTTAATCATACAAGGAATGGTTTAGGGTTTCTCACAAGCTCTCTGAGGGTGAAGGAGGCGAGTTGGGGGCACAAAACATTGCTTAAATAGTGAGCAAACCCGAGGATTTAGGGTTTCTTCCTGGCAGGCGGACTCGTCGAGTCGCCGACTTACACGTGCTCGAAATCCCCGTCTCTACTCGACGAGTCAGGCTATAGACTCGCCGAGTCCCTCTTGAAAACTTCTAAATAAATAATATGGAAACAACATACCAGAGACGGGTCGTTACAGAAATGAGGGTATGTAAAAATTTAAAGTGAGAAAAGATGAATGATAATTGAAGTGAAAATGTGTGAGTGTGTGTGTGTGTGAAAATGGTAAAAAAAACTATTTTTTTTTTCAATTTTCACTCATAATATATATATATATATATATATATATATATATATATATATACATATATATATATATATATATATATATATATATATATATATATATTATGAGTGAAAATTGAAAAAAAAAAATAGTTTTTTTTACCATTTTGACCGTTCAATAACAGTCCATTTCATGACCGATGCAATATATATATATATATATATATATATATATATATATATATATATATATATATATATATATATATATATATATATATATATATATATATATATATCTGATGCCAAATCCACCCATTTCTTACCGTTACCACGAAAACGCCACTCATCGTAACGCCCAATAACGGCTAGGGGGCGGTGTTTCGCATGTTACACGGCGTTATGAGAGGTCCACATCGGATTAACGTTCGCTCTCGTTGCCCGCTCCGTAGAGTCTTTCACTAAAACAATGGTATTTTATGTTTAACTAGTGTAGGTGTCCATGCTTTGCATGGTTTGGATGTAACGTACATAGCAAATGCATACAATGCAATTTTAATACAAACAAATGAAATAGACTCGAAGAAAGTAAAATGCCTTTTAAGTATCTCAATAACATCTTAATTCCTTTGAAGGTTAATTTTAAATTCGTATATAACATACAAAAAAACATATTAACTTAAAGATAAAGATAGATTATATTTAGGTTAAAGGTGGCCATGTTACACTGGCATAACCTGCTGAAGAATGGATCCAATGGAATGAATCATTTCATTCCTTCCTTGATTCCAATATACCAAACGCTACCATATTTACCCGCTTTAGCTGGGGATACTTTAACTCCAAATTCTTCAACTTTCTGTCCTAATCAATGCAAAAATCAGCTTAAACTGAAAAAAAAAAAATCATCGGTTTAGTAAAATCCATAGGTACTGCATCCACTCGAAATACTACATCATAACTTTTGCAAGATATAAGCAACATTAAAATGGTAATTAATGAAAAAAAAGTAATTAATTACTTTATAACATAGTTTTGTTTATTGCCGAAAGGATTTGGCAAATGGGATTGCATACTAATAACAGAGAGAATGCAAAGACAATTTTCTGTGTATTTTTTTTTCACTTTACAATTGAGTACAAGAAGGTATTTATACAGCAAAATACAACGGATTCCTAATTAAAAGCTATAGACCAGGTATTACAAATTGACCATGACTTCTTCTATTCACACGTGTTGGAACACGTGTATTGATATTGTTATTACCCCCCGGCAAGCTCAAATGCGGGACAGACTTGAAGCTTGTGTCTTAAAGTAACCAATCTGTCCTTGTGCAATGGTTTGGTAAAAATGTCCGCTAACTGATCCACAGAAGAGATGGGGCTGACTGTGAGATCCTTAGCTTCAACTTGTTCTCTGATGAAGTGAAAGTCTAAGGCAATATGTTTGGACTTGGTGCGTATCACAGGATTCTTTGTCATGAAAATGGCCCCGATATTATCACACAGTAACAATGGAGAATGCAGGAGTGGAGCGTGTAAGTCATCCAATAATTGTTTTACCCAAATTAACTCGGCCGTCGTATATGCTAACGCTCGATATTCGGCTTCTGTGCTGGATCGAGCTACGACTTTCTGTTTTCTGGAGGTCCAGCTAACTAGATTTGTGCCATGAAAGATCGCAAATCCATATTGAGAGCGGCTGTCATCATTGTCGGAGATCCAACCGGCATCCGAGTAAGCAAGGAGAGAGGTGCTGGTTGTAGGTTTGAAGTGTAAGCAATGATGAAGTGTCCCCTTTAGATACCTTAAAATGCGTTTGACAGCCTGCCAGTGAAGAACAGTTAGAGAGTGCATGTATTGACAAACCCGATTCACAGCGAATGTAATGTCAGGTCTAGTAATGGTCGCATATTGCAGTGAGCCAACAACTTGACGGTAGAGGGTTGGGTCAGAAAAAGGGTCACCATCAAGAGTTAGCCGAGAATGGCTGTCAGCCGGTGTAGATATCGGAGTTGCATCTATCATGTTGGTATGAGTAAGTATGTCACAGATGTAGCTAGCTTGACTGAGAGTGAGTCCGCTGGGTTGTCGTTTGATTTGAATACCAAGGAAAAAGTGCAAGGAACCCAAGTCTTTAAGAGCGAAGACAGCATTGAGACGAGTAATGAATTTCTGAATTAGCGCCTCATTTGCACCTGTGATTATCAAATCATCAACATAAACCAGAATGTAAATTGTAGCAGATGATGATTGATGAACAAACAAGGATGTATCAGATTGGCAAGCCCGAAATCCTTGTTGGATAAGATATGTTTTTAGTTTAGTAAACCACGCTCTTGGAGCTTGTTTGAGACCGTAGATGGCTTTGTGAAGATGACAGACATGTGTTGGTTTGGTTGGATCTTCAAACCCACGTGGTTGTTTCATGTATACGGCTTCTTGTAAATCACCGTTTAAAAAGGCATTGTTAATGTCGAGTTGGCGCACACACCAGCCTTTGGAAATTGCAATAGATAGAACCAACCGGATGGTGGTAGGTTTGATAACAGGGTTGAAGGTGTCGAAGTAATCAATACCC